GGATCATAAAACTGTGGGTTTGCAAAGCTTCCATAAATTCAAAAATTTATTATGGCTACATAGATTGAAAATACGATAACGATTCGCATATATTCTCAATTCTGCAGGACAAATTAGTTTATAAGTTTATAACATTTATGTTATATTTTTTTATATATTAATATATTTTAGATAAATATATTATATAGATTTAATTTACAGAGCTATAAAATATATAAACTTTGTAAATTGAATGGTTTCTCTACGTAAGAAAACATAACCGGAGCTTCATTATGTCAACGCTCTTAGATCGCAGGGTCGCTGGTAAAATAACTTGAGTTTTTTTGCTAGAAGTAGTGATTGTTTTGATTAACATTGAACGAAACCATATATTAAGTATACTTTATTTTTTTAATACTATCTTATTGTTGTTAATTTGACTGAATAAAATTTGCACCAAATGTAAATAAAATTTTGTACAAGTATTAAGAAACAAATAGCGCTGAAAATATATGGGTTTGAAAAAAAAATGGAGTTGATTTGGCAGCATTAAACGAACGACTAAACCAAACGAAGCACGATAATTTCATTTGCTTTGACAAATAAATCGAAAAATATTGAAACGACTAGTTTATTTAACGAAAATTATAAGAAAAGGTGTCTGATTAATAACATTTTGTAAAAGTAAATAAAAAATTTAAAAAATTTTTTTATAATAATTAAAAACGTAAAATACGCGAGGAAATGACGGCGTAAGGGCAAAACACGCCGACAAAATGTTTTGATAAAGCACCATAAAAGGTAACATTGTAAAGAGGAAGAGAAAACGAGATCTGAAAATTCGGCCCCCACACTCAAAGTACGATAAAAAAAACATTAGAAATATATTAGAAGTGATTTACTTGCAAGTAAAACGAAAAGCACTCTACTTCAATACTTATTAAACATATATCGATATATAAACATAATTTAAAGACAATGTCCAGTCGAAGACCAAACCTGCGTATGACCATACAAAAGGATCCAGAACCAGAATTGTAAGAATTACATACAGACCTTACCATGTTGTTGATTGATAATTTTTATCCCTTAAGGGTTCCCCCCCGTAATCTCGACTCTAGCACTACCATACAGATTGGCGAACGCACCTTCGAGATTGATGCCGACAGTTTAGAGAAAATATGTGATTTGGGACGTGGCGCCTATGGCATTGTAGAGAAGATGCGTCATGAGCAAACGAATACTGTTATGGCTGTCAAACGTATTACAGCCACTGTAAATCGGAAAGAACAGAAGCGTCTACTTATGGATTTGGATATATCGATGCGTTCCAGTGATTGTCCATACACTGTACACTTCTATGGCGCGTTATTTCGTGAAGGCGACGTCTGGATATGTATGGAGGTCATGGATACCAGTTTAGATAAGTTTTATCCGAAAGTCTTCAAACACAATCTAGTAATGGAAGAAAGTGTCTTAGGAAAGGTAAGTGATTGCAGATATATATGTCACAAAAAATTCGCACAATATATATTCGCTTGTCACAAATTCTTTGACTGTACTTATTTTATACTTCTACACTTCTATTTAAGAATGGTTAACTCTTATAGATAATTAGGTTTTCACTATCGCAAGGTTGGCATGTGCTTCTCTATAATTTGTAACTTTGGATTTTTATAGGAAATGAAACTAAAAATTTGCAATTTTAATAAAGTGCGTCATCCATCTGAAAATGCTGGGCCTCCCTCTGTCGGAATTTCTATGGATAAAAGAAACGTAACAAATCTTTTTAAGACGTCTAAAAAGAGGACCATACCGAAAACCATATAGATTCTTAGAAATTTTTATTATCGAAAGTAAGGTCGAAAAGCTGAAAGAAGTGAAGATTGTAAAGATTCACAGAGTAATTATTAGAAACGCAACTTAAGATGTTAGTAGCGCTTCAGGTTGCTTATGTTATCAACGTTTTTTTTTATCCTTTAGCCATAAATGCCAAATTTTTTCCTACTTTCTGTGTGTGGCGTGACGTTATAGGCATTGCCGAAACTCCACTTGGCTGCGGTCGAATAAGTTACTAAGTAACTAGAAATTCATAATCGCCCCCCATAACCAAGCGTGCGCAATGTATCCAAGTTGCAAATGACACAATTGAACATAACCATAGGTTGGGAAGTTTGAACTTATATTTAAGGAAAGAGTATTGGAGTCTTTACTTTTTTTTTATTTCTTTATTTTTTTATTTTTTATTGCAGATTGCTATGTCTGTGGTAAATGCTTTACATTATTTACATGCACAATTAAAAGTTATACATCGTGATGTCAAACCATCTAATATACTGATCAATCGCAATGGTGAAGTTAAAATGTGCGATTTCGGCATTTCAGGTAAATTGTAAAACAAATAATTTTCTGGATGTGTTCTGAATTTAACCGTTCTGCAGGTTACCTGGTTGATTCAGTGGCTAAGACGATAGATGCGGGTTGTAAACCTTATATGGCACCCGAACGTATTGATCCTACTGGTAATCCTGCTCAGTACGATATACGTTCAGACGTCTGGTCGTTGGGTATTAGTATGATCGAAATGGCTACAGGTAAATTTCCTTATAAATCGTGGAAGACACCTTTCGAACAATTACGACAAGTGGTTAAAGATGATCCGCCACGATTGGAGCCGGGCGCATTTTCAACAGACTTTGAAGACTTTATAACAAAATGCCTGCAAAAGAATTACACAGCACGGCCCAATTATGAACGATTACTGCAACATCCCTTTATCTCAGAACATATTAGACGTAATACGGATATTTCAGAATTTGTAACCAGAATATTAGATTTGCCCGAATAGAAATTTCTTAACGGAAATGATGAAAAGAGATACGGGCAGAAGATGGCGGGATTCTTCAAATTTTTATACGTAAATAGCAACGATTGAATATACGATAAACAAATTCAGCAGTATATAGCTTTTCTGTCATTAACTCTGAATAGATGCAAGCGCATGAAGAATTTTAGCGAAATGCCGCCATGCATATGAAAAATATTTTGCATAAATTTGATAAAATATCTATATTTTTATACATGAAAGAAAGGATTTACAGCAGCTGCTGTGTACGGAACTGGTAAAGTTTAAGTTAGAATACTATAGCCGCGTACGCGTGTATTTATGTAATTGTGTCAATTCGTTTTTAATTTATTAAAATTCAAACCTATGTTTGTTTAACCTATAAGTAAAGAAACAACTGTGTCCACATACGAAATATATTTTGTAGAACTGTAACAATTTGTTAATATTGAGCAGCAATTTATAAGTGAATCAGATTAAGTTATATAAGAAAATTAAATAAAAAAAATAAATAAACGAAACATAGCTAAAAGTGTGCAAAATACCACGCGTTCTTAAGTTGATCTTCGGCAACGAAGTTTGATTTTATTTGTAATGTTGTTTACATATCGGGCTGAAGTAGAAACTACATCTTCTACCTCCAAAAATAAGAAATTTAAATATTTTTATAAAAGCTAATCTGACCTCTACCCGCTGTTGGTCTTATTTTTTCTGTTTTTTTTTCTCGATTTCTTCTTCCTTCTCTTTTTCGATAATAGCCACGTATTTCTCAATTGTTTGGGTATCGAGCATTTTCAGAGGCTTATTCTTCTCCATAACAGCAATTTCTAAGTTTTTCTGACCGGTTTGAGCTACCTCAAGCAAAGCTTTAATCGCTAATTTAACGGCACCCTTCTCTTCAGCAACTTCTTCATCAGTGTAATGCTTTTCTAGGAATTCCCGCACAGTTTTGGCCGAACGTCCGGTAGCATTAGCCTTCCACTCATAATAAATGCCTGAAGGTTCAGTTTGATATAAATGAGAAGTACCGTCGTAATCAAAACCACCGATTAGGCAAGATATACCAAAAGGACGACGTCCATTGCTTTGGGTGTATTTTTGCTTCAGTTGAGCAATGTACCTGCAAGAAGCATTGTTTTTCAATGACTTACTATTCATAATGTTCATCATTTTTAGAATATCCATCAAAAGTTTTATAATATATACATATGTAGTCACTATTAACGTAAATAATCGAATCAATTTAGTCATGCTCGCGTTTGTTGCCGCCAGTTAAAGACAGATTAAACTTAAAAATTAAAGGTTTGTGCAAAATAAAAAATTAAAATCTGTGAGATATATAATTTTTGCCACAAAATTAATGCTGCAGATATAAATTACAAAAATAAAAAAGTAAGGCCATAAAAGTAAGGACAAATATATACGCAAATCTTTGTATATATCCAACAACAGTCACAGCTTGTAATCTGCTGTATCGGGATTGTCTATGATTCGCTAGTCTACGCACTGCTCGAAGTAATGCATATTGAACTATAACGCGTAGCCCAATGTAGTTTTTTTGTTTTAAAATTTTGCTTCCATACCTTGTGATGTATTCCAGAGTAACGGGATCCTCAACGTTTAATTTATGACTTTGACATTCGACTTGTGCACGATTAATCAGAACACGAGCATCTGCAGTCAGGCCTGCGAAAGCCATTACAACATGATCATCTAAAGCGCAAATTTTTCGTACAGTGCGTTCTTCTTGTAATTGAGCTACCGATCGCTTTTCCACCCCCAATACTACGCAATTAGCTCCTCTAACACCCACCTATGAGTGAGATAAAGAAATATTTTCATAGAACTACTTTTAGTTTGCAAATAACTAGGTTAGGTGTTGACCTACCGCTGTTGAACCTTTACGTACTGCTTCCTGAGCATATTCTACCTGAAGTAAATGTCCATCTGGTGAAAATATGGTGACAGCTCGATCATAACGCGACATTCTTATTAGTTTTTAATAGATTTAAGAGAATGTTACTTTTTAAGCCGCTTAAATTATCCACGATTATTTGCAGAAATACAAAAATTGTTTGTCAGCCTCAGTGTTGCCGATGTTATTAACAGGCATATAGGGCTTTTTCTTATTATATTCTCAAAAAAAAAAAAAATATTTAAATTCCCATTTATAACATTTAATGAACCAATATTAAACAGCCTTATGTCGTACGAGTTGGCAAGACTGTTAATTATTTTGACAGCTGCTTATTTTCTAAATTTCAACAAAAGAAAACGGAGAAAGGATTTTGTTGTTTTTATTATTTTAGTGCTGTTTGTTGGTGACAGCAGCGAAATAAATGGAAAGAATTTTTGCTTTAGTTATATTTATAATCGTGCAAAAAAAATTGATTTGAAAGAAAAAAGACTGTCAACGCGTTGTTCTAAATTGTTATGTTTTGTAAAGACTTGAAGAAAAAAAAAGAATTATGCGTACATGCGGTGCAAATATGCAAAGTGAGTGTGGTTGTGAAAATCGTCATTGTGTCGTACGTAGTTGTCTCGTAGTTAGTCGACTCGTGTAATTTGAAAATAGAAAATTCATTAGTGGGGCCAGTTTACTGTTACTAATAAAATAAAAAAAAGTAAAAAAAAGCTTCAACAACAAAGTATAGCAAGAAATCCAATTTTAACGGTTTGCGGCAAATGAACAGAAAATAACATAATTCTGAGCTAATTTTTGCTCTTTGCAAATACAAATATATAAACGGAAATTTCGTTAAAACAAAGAAGTTAATCAGTGAGTAAATTGTCGTTTATAGTGGCAAGACAATAATAATAATAATAATAATAATTAAGCGACATCACAAATCAAAATCAATTGCTCTCATCGATATATAAAAATTACGGCGTTAAAGTGGCTATAAAGTAATGGCATTAGCGCGTAAATTAACAGAAAGAATATGTAAGTATGTGCATATATGTCAGTTTATAGAGATATATTTATTGAACACTTATGTGTGTATATATATATATACATCCATACATACATACACACACACATATATATATATATATATATATATATATATATATATATATGTATATATATACGCTGCACGATAAAATCCCAGCCCAGGACCGTATATGGTCGACTACACAAACATGCATTGCCGGATATTTACAGTTGCAGTTGACATTGCATGTTTTTGCCACTTTTGGTTTCAGAGATCTGCACAATGATTTATCGCGCTACATATATCACTTTGCCTATTAAAGCTGAAACTAGTTGTATGGAGATATATTTAAATGAACAAAAATATCAACATAATACGACCAACTGCAAGGTTATGCAAATCTTTAATGCATTTCTGTAGCCGTGTTATTTGGCCCCATTATCTTTGTTATGTTGCTCTTCATTTGGTATCAGGTTGTTTGCTTTTGCATTTGTATATATATATATATATATATATATATATATATATATATGTATATACACTTAACTCAGTATAGGTGTGAGAAATTTTCTCTTTTCTGTTTTTATCCCATGTAAGCTCCCCCTCCAGTGGTTTTCGGTTTGTTGTCTAGCCCGCAAACAGTAAAAAAGGAAATTTAATAAAGCACCTTATTTGCGTGGTCAACGACTCGTCTTTTTTTTTTTTTTTTTTTTTTTTTTTTTTTTTTTTTTTAAACCCCTTTTTATTGAAACACATGTGAAAAAAGCAAGGATAGCCGGTTTTTTGTTTTGCGATTCGACACACCTGATATGTCAAGCTTTGCGAAGCGTGTGGGTCGGTTGTATGGAAAATCTTTGGTGAGAGAGCTTCAATGATACTTTCTTTTTTTTTTTTTTTTCTTCTGTTTCTCTTAAATACTTATATCTGCTGTTTTAAAGATTAGCTTATGTGATTTAGAATTTTTTTAATTTTTAGATGAAATAAAGGCTCATAATGGTAATGTTAATTGTTTGGATGTCGGTGAAACCGGTCGTGTCTTAGTAACCGGAGGTCAGGACCGCAATGTCAACCTCTGGGCCATTGGCCAAACAGAATGCTTTATGGTAAGTAATACGTATAAATATATATAACTATCTATACATATATATGTATAGATCTTGTATATACGTAACATAGACGCATACATATTTACATAAATACACGTTTGATAGATAAACTTCAGCCCAGGCTTTTCATTCAAATATTCTTTATAATAATCATTTTGCAGTCGCTAACTGGACATAATCGGCCCATAGATTGCGTACGTTTTGCTTACAATGATGATTTTGTTTACTCAGCCGACGATATTGGTATTATAAGGAGATGGGATTTAAACGCTCAAACAATTTGCTCTACCTTAAATGGACACATGAAAAGTGTTCGCACATTAGATTTTAATCCGTCCGGTGAATATGTGGTTTCTGGTAGCAATGATACCACAGTCAGGTAAGTGTATTATTTATCGTCTATCTTCAGTTAATCATATTTTCATCTTTTCATCATACAAGATTATACGCTATATTAAATTATTAAATTGTTGCATAAATACTTCAGAAAATTAACATATGTACATTTGAGATACACTTGTTGTATTGAAAGATTTTTCTTTCTATTTTTTATATACATCGGTAGTAGGTTGAGTTTGTTATAATGCAATTAAAGCAATATTTATGGTTATTATTGCTATAACAAAACATGGATAAAACAGCATAACAGCCATGTTTAATGTAAGTGTTAGGAATTGTTTTTTTTTTTTTGTTTTGCATCTGTCTACACCCACCTACCCAGCCAGCTAAGCAGTTGAATACATTTAGTTATATACGTTATATAGTAACTGCTCAAGTCAATTTAGTCTACGAGCGGTGTTAATATTGCAAGCTATTCATCACATATTTTGCCACCAGTTAAACGCTATTGAAAAAAATCACTTTAAATTGTATTGTTGTATGTTCGAGTATTCTTTCCTTAGTATTGCTACGCTTATGTATATTATAATTATCTTCGCTTATTTTATATTCGCCAATGGAGGAGGATCAAGATACAATAATTTTGCTAATCCGTTTGTAACAGTTAATAATAGGCAGCACTTGATACGATATTTCAACCTACCTTGTGCATATGCATATATGCTTAATGAATATGAAATTATGAATGGAACCATTTAGCCATGCCTTCTATTCTATATAGAGGGATTGAGATTGACTGCAACTTCTATTATACCGTTTGGTTTAGAATCATTTTTTGAATTGATTTAATCTAACCGTCCATATAGTATTATGTGGCAAATGTGGACACCATAGGTCAGTTTTGTGAACAACAATCTCAATATTTCTTTTTAATCTTTTTTTTTGTTTTGTTTTTGTTTTTTAAATAAGTGTGACTAATTACACGGGGTGATTCCTTATGACAACTATTTAAGAAAAAGAACGAAGGAATATGGAAATGGTGGACGCGGGCTAGTGCGTGTGTGCCCAATCGAGAAGTATTATGCCTTTATCGGCTGAGCCCTCACTATAGTGGCACACCAAAATAAACTCTACTGCACTTGAGAACATTGACTTGCTAGTTCCGAGTTTTACATACTCCGCCATCCCGCCGCGGAATGCTTGTAAGAAGTAAGCCTTTAGAAGGCAGTAATGAATAATTTTTTGAATGTATTAGGCTAAGTGGTATACGAAAAAAGGAACCGCGCTCGATCACGTTTCTATTTGTTTTATCAGCGTAAGTTACAGAATTGCTCAGTAGTTTTACGCATTTCTTCTCACCTTCAGTCCGAGATTTTAAACGAATTCAGGCATATCTCTTTCCATTCTTGTAGAGGGTAGCAATGTATTCAATTTATGCTATCCATGGTTATGAAAATGCGAATGAAATCTGGTAACTATTTGCGTCCTCCTTAGCCACGTCCACTATAATTGTAATATTAATTTCAAAAACAATGCCACATTCATTTAATCAGTTTAAGATTGTGTAACACGTACACAATGCACAATCGATCGGGATGTGCACTCATGTCTTCTCGCACGAGCACATATATGTATCGCACATTCTTACTTCAAATTTACAGATCGAATTTGTTATTTCGCCCAAGCCGTTTAGAAGAAGGACTTAAACTGACCTAATTAAATAATAAATGTTTTGGTAAATACAAAAAAATATAGATATATATATATGTATTTCCAAACAACTTACATAAGGTAATAAATGGTACGAAACGATGCCATACCATATCACTTTTAAATATATAAAACGCTAACTAAGGGATCGATCTATATGTCTTTGCCGTAGATGGTGGGTACTCAAGATTCGGTTCAAAGTGTATGCGGTTTTCCTATTTAGTTATTATTCAACATGACAGCAATCGTAACAACAATAATAAGCGCTCTGTCTGCGCCAACAAAGGAAGGTTTAAATGCGTGCATGCATATGTATGCATATATACAGAGCGAGCACATCTCTTATTGTTGTTTAAAAGAAAAATGAATTTCACATATTTCAAAAGTTTAAAATCATTTTGGTTACATATAATACCAGACTTTCTTAATGTTTTTCTTTTTTTTTTGCGTTTTTTTTTTTGCTGTTTACATTTTTCGCCATCTGGTCTTAAATCTTAAATTCGAGCAAAAAGTAATCGCAATTCGGAGATAATTTAAATAATTCTTATTTTTATATTTATTTGATTCTATGAAATATGTTGGAGCCCAATGCGTGTAATTGAATTATGTGCTAATCGAACTTGAAAGGCAAACACTGCCTTTAAAAAATACGAGGTATGAGGAGAAGAGTTTGTGCGACGCTGAGCGAGGTTTTAAGAGAAAACATATGCATATCGGTGACATGAGATGATGGTTTATTTTTCGAAAAACAGAATTTTTAACATAACCGAATACTATGTATTATGTATGTGTTTAAAAAGACGGCAAAGACACATGTTAAAGTCAATAAGAGCAAGCTGATTACAATTTAACCTCTAATCAGGTCCGTCTGAGTGGCCGGGTAGGCTAGTCTCGACCACGACCAACTCAATGGTCGTGTATTCATCAAATCTCAAATGCGTAGCGTTTTGATAAAGTGCTTTACACTTAGAATTTATTCTCTGCCTAAAATAATAATAATAACCCTCTAATTAATTTTGTTGAAACATCCTACATCGTCTTATAAAGAGGAGACAATTTGTAAATATTCTGCTTGTGCTTTCTACTTCGTTGAAAACCTGACCGCGTTCTCGAAACTTTTTCTAAAATATTAAACTTGACTTTAACGTTCAGTCAGTCAGATAAGTCAGATAAATAAGTTCGCTCAAATTTAGTAAAAATTAGTTTATTATTGTGTGTCCCTTTTTTGATAAAATTCAACCTCATTTGAAATATGTTTTTTACAAATGTTATGTTGTTGATAATCGAAATATGCCCGACCGTTAGCGTTAGCTATGATCTTTTGCTTTTTATCGTTTTACTCGTTGTTCCGAGGTGAAATAATCACGGAGCCATTTTCGTATATTTTTAATTTTAGTGAGCTGCTGATTTCCTAAATATGATTGCATCGACTTGAAACGGTGCTCATTAGAAGGAAACAAGTCGGACGAATAATTTGAGAAACCGGGAGTATTTTCCAGTCAAAGTTTAAGATCACTTCTCGGGCTACTTTTACTGAAGAAAGACAGGGAGGTATCCGAATTTTCATCGTTATCAAGGCTTGAGTCTGGTTTATTACGGAAGGTTTTGAGGATGTATGCAATATCAGCCTGTGGCTTATTTAGTTGTGCCATGGATGCTCATCTATCTTGACTTACTTTTACGATATATTCTCTGCTTACAATGCTCTACTCCCTGATTTTTGATAAGAAAGTAAAAATTTGCTTGACAATAATCGCTTAAGATCAAGAAATTGATTGATATTCAGCTTGGAATCTTTTCTATTTTATTTTTCGTTCCACTTGCCTTCTTTAGATTTTTACAAATCCTTTCTTAGCGAAAAATGGCAACAAGAACAGATACAATGTCTTGCGTATAAGCGTAAGAAGTTTATTTCTCAGTTGTAAGCTAATATATATGGCGTACGTGCTTATATACAAGTACGCCATCGTTCAACGAGCATTTAATTGTAATAAAAAGAAGAAAATTTTTAGATTTGTAGAATGAGAGCATTGCGTAAAAAAAGGCACCAGGAATTGCGTATGTAGTTATTAACTCTGCATTGATGCCAACAATAATTCATTTCAGAGTATTGATGGATTTCAATATTGAAGACCGTTTATAATTTGCTTTGAGTCTTAGCATTGGGTTATTTTAGTTTAGTTGATTTCTTTATCAAGTTCTCTTTTTCTTTCTTTACGTGTGATTTGCTAAATCGCGGGAAATATTTAAAAAGGATTCATGTAGTCGTGAAACTTGGTCGTTATTGGAGGGTAAAAAAAGGTTTCAAGTTACCGATATTTATGCAAACAAATAGATCGGAATGTTAATCTCATATATTCTATCAATTTGCTCTTCGCAAAAATGTCGTTCTAAATCGATTCGGGTTTCTTTGGGAAATCGCAATATTTTCTGATAAATTTCTAGACGAGATCTTAATTAAAGTAATCTCCGGGGGCCAGAACAGATTGAATGGATTACCAAAAAGATAAAAATTAAAATATTGTATTATTATTTGTAATAAATATATTTTCTTTAACAAAATGAATACAGTAAACACGTTACGCAAACTTGAATGCGATGGGTTAAATTTGCACTGTTCCTGATTCGTTATCACATCATATAATTAGAGTGCTACTCAAAGAAAAGCTTGTAAATTTTCATCTGTTTAAAGCTTTCTCCTGCGTATTTGTAAATAATTATATCAAGATCCACCGATTATTAAAACTGTGGCATCTTGCTTTAATTTTCTTTCTTTTTAAATCGGTCGGATTGATGGCTTAATTAACATTAAAAAGAAAAAAGAAAAAACACTTAAACACATTTTAAATTTGATAGCTGCACAGCTGAGTAAATTGATAAGAGCAGACACAATCGATTTGCAGCATTGCCATGTACGAGCAAATTAAATCATTTGCAATTTTAAACGTTGTCCGCGGGTTGGCGATTGCCCATCCCTGTTCTAGAGAATGAAGGCCCTAAAACAAAGATTAAGATTAACCGACCGAAAAACAATCTTCTGAAAGTGCCTATAAAAAGTTGTACCATTCAGGCTGACAGGAAAACGGAAGAAACATTTGCATTTTTTTTTAAGTACTTTCCCATGACTATTTCTCTTTCTAATCGTTACAAAAAGACATGTAGAAGAAAGAAAACAACGAGTAATGAATATTTCGTTCTGTTTCCTCAATAAATTTTCTATTGCTTACATATGTGATTAATAGATAAAAAGCTAGATTGCGCTTAAGCCCTGTAGGATGATGATAAAAAAAAAAACAAAAAAAAAAATTATTACGAGCATATGTGTCTGTAAAAGATGTTATAATAGAAGGTGCTTTGAAACCATGATTCAAGATCTCTGCTATACATATACATATATAGGCGTTTAACCGATGTGTACCTACATATGCATATGCTGATGTCGTTTCACACACGTTAACGCATTTTAACTTTTTTCTCATTTTCGTTGTGCCGATGAATGCTTTTCTTATTTTGGTTATTCATGTGTATAACTTTATAAGGTTGCACACTGAAGCCATCAA